TTGCAATGGTGGTCCCGGTATAATCATTAAAAGTATGGTGAGGGTGTGGCTTCTCAGCCTGTGAGTTAGGAGGATCTATGGGTTTGGTGCGCCAGACGATCCACAACACGTGATGATCAGTTTCCACGGTACCACACGGTCCTCTAAGCAAGGGACTTCTAATGAGGTATATATATTGATACATTTAGTCTTTAACGAACTCATATTATGTTTAATTAATACTAATTGTTTTTGTGTTGTACAAATGAAGGTATGGCTTTTGAAGGAGAAACTTATAAATAGAGATGAGCAGAGTGCAGAGTAGCAACAGACGTTTAGGCAGAGGTGTGAGCAACATATATAGCAGCAGGTACAACAACACGTTGCAGCACAAATGAGACAAATGATGGAGCAGGTTGCTGATTCACAAGTGCTCCAATCAGCTTTACACCATCCACTCTCTCTCTCTCCCCAGTTACAACTCGCAACACAAATGACACAAATGATAGAGCAAGTTGCTAGATTCAGCGGTGCTCCACTCAGCTTTACACCATCCCCTCCCCCATTTTGATTTTAGCTAGACGGACATATTGCATTTGCACTACTCTATTTGTAGTTATATGTGGACAAATTTAGATCACTGTTTTTGTAATTTTATATTACAGTATATTTTGTCTTTGGGCAAATTTATATTACTCTATATAGGAAATCACGTATTTCTAGTTTTATTTTATTTTTAAAATACTTAAAACTTTAGACGGATTTTCGACGGAAATCAATCAAAAGTCCCAAGGAAATCCCAAGAAAATTCATCGGAAATGCCAAATAAGGTGGACAATTCTGTCAAAAATCCCATGGAAAATTTCTTGTCGAGAATCCCATGAAAAGGTTTTCGTCAAAAATCCCATGAAAACTAGTCTGTCTAAAATCCCATGAAAACCTTGTCCGTCGAAAATCCCTCGAAGATATCCCTCACAAGTGTTGTCAAAAATTTCTTGGAGTCTTCATGGGTTCTTCGATGGATTTATTCGGTCAAAAATTCCATCAAAATCTCGGAAACACACATTTTCGACCAAAATTTCACCGACGAGAGTTTCCATCGAAAATCCATTGAAAATGATCATTTACGTTGGAATTTTCCGTCTAAAATGCCCCTCCATTTTGTAGTGAGTTATTAACAACATAAACAAAGTGGTAGACGGCTTGGTTCATATATAATATGAGTCTTAATTTTATTGATGTGAAAAGAATAAGACGTATGATATATCTTTAACGGGATTGTGCAATTGTTTTTAAAAAAAGTTGAGTTAGGGGGTGTTTGGGATTGCTTATTTAAAACAATTTATGTTTTTCTATAAAAGTCCTTATCAACTTATTATAAGTTAGAATGATTTAACTTCTTCAAAAAAAATCCTTATTACCGGTTTGACACCGGTATAAGCTGTTTATCCAAACACTTAAAAGTGTTTATTACCGGTGCAACACCGAAATAAGTTAATAAGTTGTTTTTATAAACAATCCCAAACACTCCTTTAGTAAACTCTTAATAATTATGTAACTCAAGTCGGAAGAAAGTGTTGTGTGGTGTGTAAATTATTGTATATCTAACCAAAAATATTATTTTTTTGAGTTATTTAAAAAAAATTATTTGTTTAAATAAAGGCTGTGTTTTTCAAAAACGTCTTTAAATAATGTTTCAATAACCTACTAAAAAAATTCCTATTTTTTTTCAATTTTGTTTATTATATTTTTAATGAATCTTTAATATATTTTTTAGGTAATTTTATATTGTCATCTATCTTATTAGGTAATTTTATATTGTCATCTATCTTATTAGTTAGTTTTTATCAAATACACTACTACAAAATTGAGTTTACAGGACATCCCGAATCTCAAAGCGTCCCAATAGACCGTTTTTAGGACTTAATTTATAGGACCAAAATATAAAATGTTCTATCTAAATGTGTTGTAATAAGTTTATATGACATTTTTTGGCGTCTTAACAAGTTTTTTAGGACATTTTTGATACAAAGTGTCGCATTAGCAACTTTATAGGACACTTTTCTTAAGACACTTTTGAGAAAAGTGTCCTATAAACTCATTTTTTTTATAGGACACTTGTTTTTATAGGACATTTTTTCAAATAGTRTTCTATAAAGTTGCTAATGGGACACTTTATGTTAAAAGTGTCATAAAAAACTTATTACGACGTCAAAAACATCATATAAACTTATTACAACGCCTTTAGATAGAATACTTTATTTTTTTGGTTCTATAAATTAATTTCTATAAAAAGGTCTATTAGAACACTTAAAATTTGAGAGTGTCCTATAAACCCAATTTTGTTGTAGTGATATTACTAAGTTATCAGCTAATTTTCTATACATATATAGTCTTTGAAAACATATTCACAATGGAGGGTTCCAATCTGGACCATGTCTCATTTGGTTTGCAAGATTTGAATGGATTTGTAATTGAATTTCATTTTAATTTCATGTCTGGTTTGAATGATTTCCTGGATTTAAAATCACAAGATTTCTTTGAAATTCTATAAACATGAGATTTTGAATCTCACGGGATGATTGGTATTTTGAGGGAATTAACATAATTTGTATAAAATATGTTTAAAACATTTATTTTGTAATAATCAACTAAATAAAAATAATTCAATTATTTATATATTTTTTTATAAATTATTTAAAGAATGAAATTAAATTCCATTTCTTATAAATAATTCATGAAACAAATTATAAATATTTATGAAAATAACTAAATTACCTTTTTATTAGTTTATTATTATAAAACCAATGTTTTTAATATATTTTTAAACATTATTACACACAAATCCTACGAAGTTCTCGAAATGCCACAACCCGCAACGGATTTCTAAATCACATGTAATGAAATTGAATTTCAAATCCCTCAAAATCCTATCTAATCATACAAATCAAACGGGATCTAAAATGGTAAAACCATATATTTTACATGGATGATTTTAAATTTTTAGGTCAAAAGTTACAGGAGGTCTCAGGTTCAAATCCAAGAATGAATAAAAATCCTCTTGTGGCCATGGAGATTCAAATGTGGTGACTCTGGGCTATCTGCAAAACATATGGTCGTTCTGGGATTAGTCGACTCACATAGCGGGTTGAATATCCAGGTTAATAAAAAAAAATAGGTTTTAGCAAGTAATTTCAACTCATATTCTTGAAAAAACCATTTTGCCCTTATATTTACTTAAGTTCACTATATCTCACCACAACGGTTGTTACTACTATTGTTATCAGCACCACCACCATCGCCATCATCACCACCACCAATGTCACCTCCACACCTGAACCATCGTCACTGCCACCACAACAACCACAATCGTTGTCTCCGCACCATCGCCATTGTTGTGTCATTGCCAATACTACCACTATCATTGTTGCCATCATCCACCATCTTCTCTGCCACTACTATCGCCACCACCATCATATCATCGTCGTCTCTGCCACCGCCACCACCACTTACTATTATTATTAATTTAACATTATACATATATATGATTTAAGCAATACATATGGAAATATCAAAAGGGCGTATTTGTCATTTATCTTTATTTTATCACAATTTTGATTTTGTATTCAACGAGACGAACAAACAAACTCACTTTCAATTTTTGATAACTAAACATATTTTCAAACTTGATTAAATTCTATTTCGGTTTCTTTATATTCTAATTCTGATAAATTCAGTTATATGAACTAAACGCCACTTTTGTTCATAAATGAAGGACAATTCAAGAGAATATGAGATGCACTGAGATGCACAGATCAATTATCATATCAAGCTCAATTCATGGGATGGGAGCGAGATTAAAAGTGATCAAAGGTTCAGATTTCTTCTTACGTTTCTCACCTTAATTCTTATTCTCACACGATCTTTCATCACAATCATATGTAACTGACTGAATAAGCTGTGAATCTCATTAAACTTATTAAATTCAATCCCCTTAGACTAGGTTTGAAATGCATAATTACTAAAGGGCAAAAGATATCATTAAAAGTTTATTTAAGTTGATCATTTTGAAAAACATCAGTAAGAGCCTAAAAGGTTGTTTACCGAATATTTACTGGTAAGAATAACCACTCTCACTTATCTTATCAGGTAATATTATCGGTCATCAAAACGGATTGTTAGTAAACGTCTTTTACCCAGTAATTATTATCAGGGTAAGAACCTTCTCCCTCGTTTACGGAGGAAATTCTTGGTCCTTACTGTGCCTCTTAGTCAATAAGATTTTCGGTCTTTGTCATTCTTACCAAATATGGTAAGTGACACCCTGTAAGCACTAACCCAATAAACATTTGGTACACGATCCTAAATCATTTGAACCTTCAAAATATGCAATAAAAGCCGAAAAAATCGCTAATAAACCTTTCAAAGAAGCTTTTCAGACATTTAGGTACAAAAATTTTCCCTCTAAATGTCACTTTTGGTTGTAACGGTGCTTAAAAAACGAAACGGTTACAAATGGGAGAATATAATAAAAATTTCCCTTGCACAACTTTTAAGACTTGATTTAAGCATCAATTACAAAAATATAACACATGTAATGATTTGCAGGTGACCCATTTTTTTATTATTAACCTGGATGTCCAACCCGTTATGTGAGCCGACTAATACTAGGGTGATCACCTGCTTTGCAGATAGCCTGAAGTCACCGCATTTGAACCTACATGGCCACAAGGGGATTTTTATTTCTTCTTGGATTTGAGCATGAGACCTCCTGGTACTTTTGACCTTTGAAGCCAAGCTCAAACCAATCAGGCACCACCGTTGTGGTTACGTGACCGAATTTATCTTTCATGATGAAGCAAATGATATCTAAGACACGAAAAATGAACCATTCCTTTAACCTCACTTCTCACTTTAACCGATCTTTTCGATCGATTATAAAAGGATCATCGATCGAACAAAAATAAATCACACAACAATCTAACAATCAAGGCTCATTGTAAGATTCCATAGTTTTCGCTATGAAAATGATGTGTTCATTGTCATTCTGGCTTCCTTTGTTGCTCATCTATTGGGTCAATGAATTCCCTGTCACTGCACCGCACCCTGCATATGCGATACCGCCTCTAGCACCTTGGATACCCGTGAAACCAGATTCACCTCCATCTCCAACTCCGGCTCCAACTCCAGCTCCAGCTGGAAGGCCGAAAAGAGTGAGATGCCTTTCTCTGTTATTTCCGACATGCTACAACCAATGGTACTCCTGTCCCCAAGACTGCTCAAAGAACTGCTTCATGGATTGTGTTTCCTGCAAGCCGATTTGTCGTAAGTTGTTTCCGCTTGATCGAACTAACATTTTGAGTAATGCATCCATGTCATGAACAATATTGGTCTATAAGACTTATAAAATCCGGGATACTATCTAAAAATGTTACAATAAGTTGTTAAGACAAAAAAGAGGTATATCTAATTAAATTGTCTATTATATGACATTTTAAAAAATGTCATATATATAGAGGTGGTTTTATTTATAAATTCAACCATTATTATAAATCATACAAACCAATCTCAAGTGGTCATCTAGTATAATGATTATCTAATTCAATGAATATCTCGATTGTTTCCTAATATAAAATGTTGATCATAAGATATATGAATTTTAATAGTCTTTCATAAATATCCCAATTATAATAAATAACCTCCATCATTTCTATAAATATCTTAATTAATTGGTTTGAATGTTTTATAGTAATGGTTGGGTTTGTAAAATACAAATATGACTTGTTATGTCGCCTATTTCCCTCTAATTACATAGTTTTGGTATAAAAATATCCTAAAAAACTTCATTTTCAAAATTAAAAAAAAAAACTTGTAACCATAATGATGGTGTTTGATTGGTATGACTCCAAAGGTCAAAAATGTTTATAGAGATTCTAAGGAGGAATAAAAATCTTTTTGTAACCACGAAGGTTCAAATGCAATGACTCCGGGCTATCTGCAAAGCAGATGATCGTCCTGAGATTAATTAGTCGGCTTGCATAGCGGGTTGAATATCTAGGTTAATAAAAAAAAACTTAAAAAACCAGATTTTGTTTTCGTGAGAACTATTGATTATTTGCATGCAAAATCCACCATTTTTCCATGAAATTAACTTTCATTAATTAATTACTTTGTTAAATTTGAAGGTTGCAACCTGCCCGGAGCTTTGTGTCAAGACCCACGATTTGTAGGCGGAGATGGCATCACCTTCTACTTCCATGGCCGGAAAGATCAAAACTTCTGCCTGGTTTCCGACAACAACCTCCACATCAACGGCCACTTCATCGGAAAACGAAACCCTAAACTCACTCGTGACTACACATGGGTTCGATCCATCGGAATACTGTTCGACGATCACAAACTCCTCGTCGGAGCCAAGAAAACATCGAAATGGAATGAAAACGAAGAACATCTCTTTATCTCCTTCGATAATACCCCTCTAAGATCTGTTGAAGGCAAAAACTGGAATATTTATCGTAATTCATCTCTTTTGATCACTCGAACAGCACCAGCTAACGGCGTCGCCATTGAAGTAGAGAATAGTTTCAGAATCACGGCGACGGTGGTGCCCATCGGAGCTGAGGAATCAAGGGTTCATGGTTATAATATCACCGATGATGATTGTTTTGCTCATTTGGAACTAGGGTTTAAGTTCTTCAACCTCAGTGATGAAGTGGATGGGGTTTTAGGGCAAACTTATCGGAGAAATTATGTGAGTAAGATAAAGATAAGTGCGATTATGCCGGTAATGGGTGATATACCCAAGTACTATTCGTCGGCTATTTTTGGTACCGATTGCATTGTTTCCCGGTTTGGTCGCCGGATTCCGGTGACGGATTTCGGTGAGGGGATGTAGTCTAGCTTGGCAAAATGTATTTTGTCTGAATAAATAAAATAAAATAAAATAAATGATTAAATGATTTCCTTTATATTTTAAAGTTTAAACCAAGGTTTTTGTATCGTATCTATATTATATTATAAAATATTTGATAAATTTTTTTTAAAATCATTCTTTATGCATGAAGTACTGTACATATTAATATATATTAGAAGAGTACTCGCGCAATGCAGCAAGACATATCTCGATTTTAATGTTCTATTTTATAATTTGTCTTTGTCGATGTTATAATATGATTTTATGTGTTTTTAAGAAAGAAATAATTATTTTATTTTTGAATAAAATAAAATTTTGAAGTTATCATAAAAATTTGAAAAAAATATATCCATGTTAATATCAAATAAACTATTTAAAAGTTCTTATTTTTTTATGTAATTTCTTTAATTTTTTTATTATAATTTAATATTTAAGTTTAATAACGAAATAATTTATTTTTGGTTTAATAATATAACATTTTATAAATATAATAATTAAATATTCTGTTAGAACTCAATTATTATCCTAATTATATTTTAGATTTTTTTTATTTAAAATGAGATGTTTATCTTGTATTTAATTATGTTTATCTGCAGTTAGTTACACGAATTCGGATACGGAGCTTTAATAAATTGTACTTATGCACATTTTACTTGTAATATTGAGTTTTAAGTAATATGCATTAATAAACAGTACTTTACACATAAAAAGTGGGGTTTAAGAGTTTTTGTCAAATGTTTTATAATATAGTATAGATTATTTAAAATTTAAAATTACAAGTAAATTGCGCGTAAATACAACTTAGTAAAACTCCATTTTTGAATTCGTATAACTAACTACAGATAAACATAATCAAATACAGGATAAACATCTCATTTTAAATATAATTAGAATAATCATTAAGTTATAACATAATTATTATCTTTATAAAAATTATATTGTTAAAAAATAAAAGTTCGCTATTAGACCTAAATTAAATTAAAATAAAAAATTGAATTAAAGAAATTGTACAAAAAATGAAAACTTTTAAATAGTTAATTTGATATTAATATCGATATATTTTCTAAAATTTTATGATATCTTCAATTTGTTTTGATTCAAAAGTAAAAACAATATATTTCTCAAAAATCACATAAACCGTATTATATCAATAGAGACAAAAACAAAACAAAACAAAACATTAAAATAAAAATGTATATTGCTGCATTATACGAGTACCTTTTTAGTTAACCAATAAATAAAATATAAAAGTTTATGTAGTATTAAAGATGTTATAAATTAAAACAACAAAAGTGTTTAAATTGATAAAATAAATAAATATTAAAAAAATCGTTTTTCTTTTTATCAGCAAATTAAATAGCCACTTTCGGTTTTAAAAAAGTAAGATGGATTTTTATTAAAGTGAATGCACTGATCTATATAAATCAGGCTTCAAACACAAGTAAATTGGGCCTCAAATTTTTGAGCGTCGTGTTCAAAAACTCATATTTAATATCGACGAGACTAATTTTCATGTTAATATTGATGATTAATATTAAAATTCAATAGAACAAATAAAGTTAATCAATAAATATTGGGTCTTTGGGAGTCTTCATCAGAGGTCACTGGTTCGAGTTCTGTAAAATCATTAGGGATTTTTTTTAACTGTTATTTATTGGGATTAGTCGAGGTACGCATAAGCTGATTTGGAAACCGATGATTAAAAATAATAATAATAATTAATATATTATTACGATGTGTGTCGACTGTCCAAGTACAATATCACTCGGCACCATGAGAACATTTTCATGTTATATTATCTGTATTATATGAATTATAACATTAAATGTAACATTTCCATATAATATATCATATCCAGAGACGGACCTGGGGTGATGTGGTGGTGGGCACGTGCCACCGTATTGTTTCTTTGTCATAAGGTAGAAAAAAATTAGATTCGTGAAAGGTACAACCATTTTAGATAAAATTCATATATATCTGAATATAAAGCAAATATCTAGATGTTTCACAATCACTCTTATAACATTAAACAAGTAACCTCATGAATATTTAATAATTATAATAACATATTAATAAAATATTAATAAAATAATTCTCCAACCATAAATATACTTCATGATGTTTCAAATAATTCAATTGGGCCCAGTTTTCTTAATCCATTCACTTGTCCAACATTAAATAAAAAAGACATGGGTTGATTATTTTAGAAATACCAAAAATGGGTCTCAAATCGGAAACAAATTGGTCCCGATATGAGATTGTTTTTTTGTAATCGGTTCTGGTTCTGGTTCTGGTTCCGGTCCGGTTTAAAAACACTCGACCTGTTCTCCAAGAACAAAGTCTGGTACTTATAACCGGTCCCGGTCTGGGGCCAGGTCTAAATGGATCCTCAAATTTTTTTAGAAAATCTTATTTGAAGATATTTTTTTGAACAGTATCTTATTAAATACACTTTAAATTCTCCAACTACGCCATCTAAATACACTTTAAATCTTTTTTTACATAAATATGTTACACGTGTTTTTATAATTACGACTTTCGAGATTTAGTATTAAAACACTTAAAAGAATTTGATGTCTTTTGTAAAAAAAAACTTGAAAATCTTATAAAAATCTTGAAAAACTTATTATATAATTTATAAAAATTTGTTTTTTTTTTGAAAGTCGGGTCCATGTATAACCAGTCCCAGTCTGTCCAAGACTTCGAATTTTCACAAAAAAAAACATGATCGGTCTCGGATTGGCGGATCGGCAAACCATAACCGATCCCTAAGCGGACCACCTGGGCCCAATTTGGCCGCCTCTTGAATCTTGATTATTTGTCTGTAGCCCACTTCTCTTCAGCCTTGGAGCCCAACAAATGAGCATGAAGCCCAACTCTTTTGTATTTGGGGTTGGGGTGTCTCATTCACCCGACCTGACTAGCAACACAAAAAAAAATGTATGCCTCCTAATGGTTCTAAAACGCTCTGAATGATTTTGTATCATGAATCTCCCTTAACCATTAAGAGCCCTAATTTCATTATACACAATTATCAAACAACTAGTGTTTGATATCGCGCGTTGCGCGATGATGATAATTTTTTTTTTAAAATTATTGAAGTTAGCTAAATGAGTCGTTGATCACATTTATATATTAAATTAATAAGAATCAATATTACATTTGATATATGAATCCACCCACATCATTTTGATTATCCATATATTTTATACGAATTTTACAAAACAACATATTAATCCTGAATACGGTGGAAACAGCCCTGGAACACACATTGTTTCGAACCACTTAGAGTCATAACTGACTTTTCGACCTTTCATGAAAGTTGTAGTATATAGTAAGGGCTTTCTAACTGCAAAATACGAGTTTATTCTGACTTACARTTTGTGAGTTATACACTGTCAAAGTACAGAAGTTGCACTATCGGTAAAATCCAAATTCACAATTTCCCAACTAACTTTTATGATCTCAACTTCGCGTATTCAATCAAATGGGCAATTTTCTCCCTGACTATGGGTCCCATACTACTCCCCATTAACTGAAAATCCATAATTCTAACTGCTACGGTAATACCTTTTAGTTACCTTATGTCTGTTTGAACAACCTCGGTTAATCTT